TATTTAGTACGCCGTTCCTAAGAAATAACATCACCTTCGTATTTTCCAGAATCGAACTACCGAAGATTTTCTTGTCGGCTCTTTGATTGGTCAGTTATTTCTCATGAACAACATATCAACAGTTTATTTGCGGCATTCTTTGAAAAATCAATTCACTATCAAAATACTTTCGCCGATCTTCGAACGAGGTTGTATGGAATCAAAGTTTGACCATCAGTTTGTCGGCATGTTACCGAATCAAACAGATTTGCTTATATCTAAGAAAAAAAAATGTAAACACATTTCGATCGCTGCTGAAACAAACGGAATCACATGAACACAAAATTCTTGAGACTTTGAAAGAAATACATACAGATCTTTTTATGTTTAGTCTACTTAGTCTATTGGCCATGAATATGATCGAAATTTTCCGTTAAATTAGCGAATATCATCCGCTTTTGTTAGGGAACAGACAAAAGGTCTCCTCCCGACATCTTAACAACTGTTATTACTCTGTCTTAATAGCAAACCTATTATTTTTCTTCTATCTGTTTTTCTATCTGTCTATATTTCTGAGATGAGGTATTATGTACATTATTTACATTATTCGGATGGGGACTATAGTCCGAATAATGTAAATAGCGTACATAATACCTCATCTCAGAAATATAGACAGATATTGAAAGACCGAATAATTTAAATAATGTCTGTTTTTCTATTGTTGTTTTTGTTATGCAATGGGCAGCATTAAAACATCCTTTTGTTCTGTCATTATTTATTCTTTATTCTCAAATCCAAGTTGGTTCTTAGACGCTCATGAGTTCCCGAATGGCGCTGACTTTGTTAAGGATACTTAGTTTACATAAAAGTGTATGACCAATTTATGAGAGCAGATCTTAAAACCAAACACTGGAGGTGGAACTATGCAGGAGAGATAGCTTCCTTACTTTGATTAAAATCTGATCTTCAGGCAACAAGGAACAATGTTCAAGGTACAATGTAGACAAAGTATATGAAACTTACCACTGAAACAGCAGGAAAATTTTGCACGACAAACGAAAAAAAACGAGACAATTTAATTTTTTAAGAGTTATCATACATATTTTCGCCGTAATTATATACAAACACTATAAAAATGATATGCTAACACTTTTAAGATATAGAAATAAAGATAAATGCGAAATAAAACAAGTGTTAGGTTCTTAAATTTAACATTTTTATAAGTAAGTCACTCTTTGGAACATTCTATTCCCAATAGTGGGCACTGTACGACAATTCTAAGCGGAGAACTTGTGTTATATACTCCAGTCTCTTCTTGGCGGGGTCTTTTAGTTGACGGGATCGATTCCATAATAAAGCTGCATTCTTCTCTATCGGCCGTCTTTTCCCGATAGGGTGATCGATAGTTGCTTTTTTGGAGTTAAAACGAGAACTTCAACAAAAGGGATCTTGACATACTACTTTATTAAACATGTCGACGTGTACATTTTTAATTAGCCATTGCGTCCGCTATCCACTCACTGGGGAGCCAGCTTTGAGACACGATTTTAACACGTCCACACTGTTCGACATGCAAATCTTAACTTCTTGAAAACACTTTCGGCGCTCTAACCTTCCAAGATGGGGGAGACCTTTGTTTCTTGCAAAAACTGATGATATTCGCTAATTTAACGGAAAGTTTCGATTCAAATTCATGGCCAATAAACTAATCAAAATCCACATCCCTATTTTGTCTACCATCTGACCTTAAGGTTAGCCTCAGAAGGTCTGAGCCAAATACACTGCCATTAAAAATTAATAGTCTGAAACTATTATTTAACACTTAATCTTAACCTGGGTCAGGGAGTGTAGATTTGGGCTCAATGGAAACGTGGCAAGCAATAATGGAGTAGTACTAAATGAGAACTAAATATGATATCCATAGATATGGCCAGCGAAAAGAGATAAAATATAACGTTCAATTCGAAATTACCTGAAAGTTACCCGGATCGATAAGCACCTGATAATGACCAGAAGGTACAAGGCCCAAAACTTGATAATAACAACAAAGATCAGGACAATAGGCAGTATGCAGGTAATGATAACTCCGGATCCCAGGAAATTTGACAGAAAACATTTTCTTTGGTATTTAATACTTCAAACTTCCGGACCCTCAGTTTTTAGGAAAATAAGGAAATCTTTTCTGAAATGTATTTTGCATGGCATGAAATATAACTTGTTTGTGTAATTTATTGTTGAAATAGGCTAAGAAATAGGATTCGACTTATACATGAGTCATGTCATAAATTAATGAATTCTAGACTCACGAATATATCTAATACGTTTACAAAGAAGCTGTTTTAGTAGTGGTTTATATATAATGTTCTTAACAAAGGACTGAGTGTTGCTTATCTTCTGTCTGAGGATATTTCATAGTATCTAGACATCGATATCGATCTGGAAGCATCTGGAAATCGATTTTCAATTTAACGCCGATAAAATCTCGTTTACCTTTAGAATTTTGAAAGAAGATTAAATTCTTACTTGAATCGCCTTTTTGGATTTTTCCTTTTGTTACTCTTTCGAATTTATCATTATATTTGACTTTTCGAGAAAAAAAAATCCTTCATCAGAATATAAAACTCCTTTGAATTTAACATCTCCCATTTTATTTTCCTTTACTTTCTACTTCCTGACATCTAATCCACACAGTTTCTGAATAAGAATAATTTGCAACCCGTATATCAACCTAAAGTTAATTATTTCATGTATAATTTGAAATAAAAATATATATCGTGAAAATAAAAAAAAATAGTCTGAATGAAAATGTTTATTAATAAAGCCTCAACGAAAGATTTATCATTATTACGAATTGATTAATGTCCTCAAGAATTTGCTGAAATTTTAAAATAATTGTTTAGAATCAGAAGCGAAGATAGTTAACATCAGCTTGCTACGTTACAATTAAATAAATAATTGCATTTCCAAATTTATGTAAATTAAAAATTGAATTATAATCACTTGGAGCTCCC